CTTTGGGGAAAATGGATACTAATTCAAAGTAAATTAACGCTGAGCGCGAAAACGAATTCGGATCGTCCAACTTTGATTTCATGGTAACAATTCTTTGGGACGGTTCTGGACTTCATCAAAAGCCTTGCATGACACAGGTTCTCTTCTCGGTGTTGGAGATCTGGCCACTCTTGAAACTGAAAACGATTTTACACGCGAGAGTATAGGTTCAGGTTGCGTCGTTTGTGCTTCCTAACGCTTCGACTGTTAACAAATTATTATGTATCACACGCTGGTTCGGTTGTACCTCCCCACATCATTTTTCCTTCAATGTTCGTTCTTGGTTTTCATACACCGGTGTACTGTTAGCGAACTGGAAATGGCGAAACTCGCTATTAACGCGTTAACTGCCACTACGGTTTATACGACATTGCATTTTCAAAGTAGGTACTCGTGCCTTGGGTTATATACGCATTAAAATATTCCAAGTTACAAATTTTTGTAAGTACGCTGTAATTTGCAACGTTGGAAGATACACCGCACAATTATGATATAACTGGATGGTAATTTTAGTCACAGTGACATGGACTTCACGAATTTCGTGTGCCAGCTAGCGTGCTCTTAGTGATTTAATTGATCGATCGCCACACAACTCTTGCCATTGTTGACTGCCTCGCGTTTTAAAAAATGTTTAAGTCTAAACAGAAAATGAGAGTAAGATGCTATATTATAAAGACGTATTAATAAAATCACTCGTTGAAGTATTTTTTTTTTAAATACAATAGATAACGATAAAGGAATATATGAATATTTACTAATACTGTAACATACTCCGAAGTTTTGTTACTTTTTCTTTCGATCCTACTAATGTCTTGAGTGCTATGAGGATCGTATTAAATATGATCATTCACATTAAATATAACATTATAATAGTGCTTCCATTGTCTATATAATTGTTCATGAATAACGCAATAAATAAGAAGGAAAGAAGCGCAGGATTAAAATAAAAAAGATACAAAAAAATAAATAAAAGATCTTTTTTATATTGTTATTATTACCGAACCATAAAGTACTAGTGTTACAGTATTAATGTTCCAACATATACAAAATAGAAGACTCGATCAAAAAATTTCACGTAACCTTTCTTTACCGTTACAAAACTTCACTCTGGAGCCACGGTCAATACGTGGAAAACTCTCTCGGCAGTTAACGCGTTAAAGATTTGAGTTTCCACCAAACACATTGTTCAAGCGTGGTAAAGCGTTTCGCGCTCACCTTGAGGTATATTCACGCCATTGGGTTGCATAGAACGTTAAAGCTGTAAGTGCTCGGTGAGAGTAAGATTTACCGTCGTAGTGCGGCGCGGTGAGTCTTGCTCATGTTTGTGCAACTTACATTAGGGGATCAAGGATACTCAAGGTTCCTCTTTCGGTGAGTAGTGTGCGTAATATCAAGAACATCATTTCCACCTGCTTACTTTCCCCCTTCGACCATTGAATGCTCCGCGGTGGTTTAAACGCTTCACCGAATCGTTGGCGTTTTGTTTCCGTGGTAGAAAGGGCGTAGTTGTACCCCTCGATACTTCTCGGTAACGTGTTATGTAGAAAGTCGGATGTAAGGCAAGAAGTTTGACGCCAGGTACGCACTGCTCACCAAAAAAGAAACCGTGTACCGTGATACACCGCAAATTAGAGTACAGTAATATCCCCAAATTTGTACGTGATAAGTGACCTAGTGGCATACAGGTTTGGGGGTGTGTTGAATTGTGTTGCAAACTTTGTTCCTGCCGTGACACTACTAAAGAGAAATTGAATAAAATAGACCAAGAATAGACGCAAAAGAATGCGCACTCAAAAAACATTTATGAATAAATATGAATTTCTTTTATTTTTTATTCTGTTTCAGCTCGGGTCTGAGCTATTTAGAAATATTTTTGATTTTTCTGATTTTTCTATCTAAATAAATATATTTTGTTAAATTATGTTAAAATGATAATTACATCGGAAATATATTTTTTAGAACAGAGTTGCGCAAACGTTGGAGGTTCTCCAGACTTTTGATTGGAAGGGTATCTTTTGGAAGAATTTCATTCTGCTTTTCTGACATTGATATTTGCATTAATTTTAATCGCTAATAGTTAAAAACAGCCATTTAAAAGGGTTTCATGTCAAACATAGAAAAACAGTAATTGATTTAGACGCTAGATAAATTGATTTCTCGTTTTTAATATTAACCGAATGAATCTTTGAGCAATGGTCAAATAGTTTCTTATTAGAGAAAATCTTAGTTGTCGATAAAAGTGAAATGAAAAACATGAAAATACCATTTGTCGCATACAGATAACATTCTGTGCGTTTGTTTTTGCTCTCTTTGATCATTTCAACTGAAGAAAATGTGGGTGTATGAGTTAAGGGGTTTGATACACGTGTGAGGTTGGGGGTGTTGCTGTATACACGTCAGAAGAAATATAGCGTGGTTACAAAATCGGTTGAACTCTAACACAACCATGTTGTCCTCACTAGGATGACGAAGCTATCAGATACGTTGAATTTTGCACATTTTGATTAGAAACGGTGTTTAACAAAATACAAATGAATCACCGTTAATCGCAAACGTAATTTTTCTAGAAAACTCGAATATCCGATTTACAATCACCCTATATTCTTTCTTTCCACCGCAAATGAAATATTACTGGTTAGTGTTTAGACTAAAGTGAAAAGTGTTTTAATCGTAACTGGAAAATACATGTGTTGTTTTGTTTCTTGTCCATGATAGGGACAATGACTTAACGCCTATCGAGGGTGGTCAGCTTTCCAACAACAAAGTGTGCTCAGGACACTCTAGTAACCGTTGTGCGAATAATAGTAATAATAATAATGGTAACAATAAGAATAACGTGGGTGGCCCGCTGATGTCCGTGGCACATATGAACGGTCAAGTGAGTGGTATCAGTGGCCGGGGGTTGGCGGGTACCTCGTCGCACAGTGCCGCGACCTCGTCGAACTCGATAGTATTTAGCGCGGCTGAGTCTTGCAACAACCCCCTGCCGTCGTTGAGTACCAGTAACTCGTTCAACCACTTTTTGGAGAAAATGGACTTGGAATTCGAGTTCTTCCGCAGTTCCACATGGGACTTGGATAGTGGCAGCGGGTGGGCAGATAGGCCTGAATCGAGAGCGAGCGGGCCACCAAACTCACGACCATCTTCCCAGCCAGCCCCGACATCTCCGAGTCCCCAAGGAACGTTCTCCTCTAATTCGGCGGTGGCGCCTCACTGCAGTCCCCTTCGCGCGTTCAGCCCGACCTCAGGCAACGCAGCTCACACCTTCAGTAATTCGTTCCCCTTCAGTCCGCTTCAGGAATCACAGACGTCCTCCTTGACGAACAGCGCAGCTAGTAGCGTTAGTGCCAACGGAGCCGCCGGATTGACGCCGAAGAGGCAGAATGAAGGGAAGACCGGATGCTCGACGACCAATCAATCCGCCATGGAGGCAACCAACGCGAGAAACAATGCAACCCCCGTGTCCGCGGTGGCGACGGCCGCCGGCCAGGCCAGTGCCGCATCCGCGACTGTCGTCGAAACTGAAAACAGTGTTGTGTCCACCGAGTCCGGTAGACTGAGAAACTTGTTGACCAAGGGGGCTAGTGCTAGTGAGGACAGTCAAGATAATACGAATAACGATTCCAACAACCAAAATAAGCATAAGATATTAAAGACCCTGCTGAATCAGCAAGACGAAGACGATTTTCATCCCGAGCATAATAATAAAGTGCGCACGAGTTCTAGCAACGTTCCGAAACCGAGCATGGAACATTCGAAATCTACGCATGGAAATAATATGCTGCTACAAAAGGTAAACAGACTGATCTTTCTATGATGTACTTACGGTACCGGACCGGTGCCGGATTAATCCTGCAATTTTACGTTCTTCTTTTATTTCTTTCCTTCTTTAATCAATCAAGTTCTCCCTTCCGTGCGATTTTGCTTCGATGAGTTTACATCAATAAAGAAAACAGTTAACGTGTAACATCGACGCTTGAAAATTTATGTCAACAGTTACGCGGAAGTAGGGCTTTTTGATCGATTGTAATCTTTTATAGTTAATTGTGTCGTGGTTGAATATTGCGCGATTCGCAGTAGTCCTAAATGATCACCTGTTACTAATTTTTTTAAGTTATTAAATGAGAAAAACGACGAGGAAGACGAAGAGGCCCGCGCTGGTTTGAAGAAGCGAAATGAACTTCTGCAGCGGCTCTTGAAGGATCAAGACGATGAGAGGAAAGTTCAAGATCAACAGGTAGGTGGTCACTAGGTTATACAGAGTATTCGGAAACCAATGAGAACACATTTACAAGGTGATCTTTCGTGATAATGTCAGATGAAAATTGAAAATTACAGGAAGTGTACATGAACCAAATGTAATTTTTTTGTTTAGACATTTGCCTAGTTATTGTCATGAACATAACGTGCACCTATGCGTGAATTCCTCGAATGTTTTCAGATGGAAACATTAATAATTAAAAGTTAATATTCATGTGATATGTGTTGCTGAATAGTGCAAACCACAGAGTCGGGAAGAAGATCCACTCTTGCGGAGCCTTGGATTTCGGAACACAACTCCATCGCCCTCTCAGTCAGGTGACAACGTTGGACTCGGTGGCTCGAGTCAGGTCGGACAGAAGAGACCGGGCGATGATGGTGATTTAAACATAGCTGTGAAACGTCCCATGGACGGTTCACATCAAGTATCATCTTCTGGTACACCTACTAATACAACTAGTAGGCTCCAGGAGAAAAACAAGATGTTGGCCGAGTTGCTAGCAACACGGCCTCCTCAGCCAACCACTATCCCACCTATACCTGCGTCTGTGATATCGGCAACGCCACAGGTAATTCAAGTTGTAGTTATTTTTTCTACATTCGGTTCTTTTAAATTGTTCTCTGTAAATATGTTTGTGATACAAATTTAATTGGACACAAATCGACCAATAGGATACTGCATTTTTATAATTACAGCAGTAGCCCAGAATTCTGACCATAAAATTGATTTTCGTAAAATTGACAACTGTAGAAATCGATGTTTCGAACCATTTTTTTTTTACAAAAACGAAAAACTTTTACTACTACTGCATTGAATTCTGTGTACGTGAGTGTGTTTATGAAACGACCACAAGCATAATCGCACTGTCGTCATTTCGGCCGTCTATCTGCTTGGGTTTCACGTATGTAAAACTACTGCGATTGACTGAAATTATTATGACTTTGTTAGGTAGAGTATGTAAAACCCGAGGAGATTGAGGGCTGATTGATCTGTGTTCCCACCGAAGTGACGAACATATGACTACATTTATGACCGCCACACACGCTCATGTATATGGAATTCAGTGTACTGGTAGTGAAAGGATTTTGCGACTAAGAGAGAGCGACATTTTTGTCAAAGGAAAAAGTTATTTGAAATATTTTTCTCTACAACGCTATTCAGTCTTATGAAAATCGGTTTTACCCTCAAGATTCTACATTATTATAATCAATTGTTTCATTTCATTTTCTCTCTGCTTTTCTAAAACATTCATTTTTGGGACTGTTACTCTGACCTATTTAGTTGCCTATTTGTACTCGCTTCTCAATTGTGTGCTTTCAAATTCAAACACTTAAAAAATATAAACACATAATATAGCTGCTAATATGCTATATTGTTTGCAGAATTATTTATTCTAATACAGCATAACTACTTTGTACTTTACACTTATCGAAACATCTGTTTTCTTGGGTATACAGGATAAGCTCGTTCGTATAAAACAACAGCAACCGCCGCAGCCGGCACAGCCACAACGACAACCGCAGCAGCAGCAACAAGCGCAGCAACAACAGCAACAACAGCAACAACAGCCGTGGACTGGTGGCAGCATGCAGTCGGTTGGTGGTAATAACACGATTACGACAACCGCAACATCCGCGCGGACTCCTCTCCAAAGCCAGTCGAGACAACTACCTCGTCAAACAACCAATACCTACCTCAGTCATATGCTAAGTCAGGTAAAAATTGTTTTTGTAGACGTAGAATAAAGTTGATGTAACTGTGTTAGGAAGGGGAGCTGAATAAAAAATTTCAATTCAAGGAAAAAAATATCCTACATTATATTTTTAGAAATTCGTATTGAAATTAAACTTGAAAGATACCATATACTATACAAATCGTAACGTGCTCTATTCTTGCAATTTTTGCGGAACTTTTATTTGGTATCTTTTATATAATTACAGCAACAAAGACCCCAAATGGGTCAGATGGAATCGGAATTCACAGGCAGCGGAGAGCATCATCAAACGAGTACTGATCCGAGCGGTTGGGATAACCAGTCGTCAGACCCTGACCTTTCGGAAATTTTGGATCAAGTGATTGAGTTCGTGCCGGATGAAGCTATTACAGGTATACAGCATGTTCCCACAATGAGTCCATCAGTTAAAAATGATCTATTTATTTTCTGTTTATTTTCCATATAACGCCCAATAATCATGCTTATGAAATAAAATTCTCTACTTTTGCTGTCACGGTACAAACCTTCAGGGATTCCCATAGTCTTTAACATAATCTTTCAAGTCCTTAAATAATACGTTAATGCCGCTGTACGATAAGACGCACAAGATGTTACACGTGACAGCGGAAGTAGCATTATCATGGTCGCAATAATTTTTATTCAATAGATTCGTCTGCAATAGCAAATCTCCTAGATGTAATCGAAGCACCACAAAACAACGTGTTGAACGAGAAAATGGCGATTAACGCGATACAGAAGTCGTTGATGTTATGCGAGACTGCCGTAAATCCAACGTCTTCCACCATAACAATTCCTGGCACGCCTCCAGCTTACTCGACTGCGGTAAGTTAGTTGTTGCTTGTTCATACATTTTTATAACCATCGTGTAATAATTATAATAAATTATTATGATTAGTTCTGTTTACACTTTTAACGTTTTTACTATATATTCTTAACATTGTTTAACAAGATATTCCTGAGATTTTTAATTTTTATTTGTAATAATCAATATTTATGAATAATATAATTTCAGTTGGGAACTGCACCTGTAACGACCAGCCATAGCTACCAACCTCCGCCTATGTACCAACAACAGACGAGAATGAGGAGTACAACGCAGCTAGTCAGGCAAACTACTACTGCTCAATTCACACAGCAGCAACAAATACAGTTACAACAGCAACGGGCGAAGTTAATACAGCAACAGCAGCAGCAACAATTGAAACAGAGGTTGTTGCAACAACAACAACAACAGCAATTGCTTATTCCTTCCAACGCTACAGCTACGGACCAAATTACAACCGGCATCCACAACATTGATAGCCTTTTGAACAATACTGTTGCACCGAACGTGTCGTTGCAGGTAATTATAATTCTGTTATTAGGACAATTGATTTTGATTAATATTTCAATGTAAGCATTCCTATCGTGTAAACAATAAGTTTATGTGCTGGCCTATTACAAACTTTAATATTATACCGTCCAAAAATATTTCACCACCCTCGGTAATCACAAGGTAGATAAAATAAAAAATAATAAACGATACATTTGTTTATGGAGGATGGAAGTTACTATTAGGAAAACGGAAATTATTCATTATTCATTAAACAATCGGATAAAATATTTTTTAGGTATACTGTACAGTTTCAACGAGCAGTTTTTGTTGACTGATTCTAAATATTCACATTTTACTTATTTTGTATGAAAAGTAAGTACGTTTATTTAATATTAATAAATTACCGGCTTCCAGCGATCGAGTGTCCCAGATTCGCAAGTCTCTCCAGGTTATGGGGGATCCGTCCAGATGCCTTCCTCCGGTCATCGACTCGCTCACTCGTATTCCCATCCATCAACGTTACCACAACAGTAAGCAGTCTGAACTAGTGCTATTAATTGCTACACCGGTTACGTAATTGAAGTACTTTTATTTCTAGCCCCATTGTAAACAATAATTTCAACAGTGGGCAACAAGTGTCCGCTGCAGCACGACTCTCGCCGCATTCTCCCGTTGGTATTCTGTCATTCTCCCATCCGCAGCCGCTGTCACCACGAGTGACGCAAGTACGTTTTAAGAGTCGTTTAATTATACAAAGTGTCCCAGATGCCTGTGTCACGTAGTTTAATTTTTATTTTCAAGGTTTATTTTTGTTTAAATTGATCTGAAAAGCGCACGAGTTCCTCCAATATTAATTTACATTTATTCTAACACTTCAGCCAGTAAATTAAGTTATTTTGCGAAAACGGAGGTTTTGCTTTATATATTTTACGAATATAAGTTACGATACATTTATGTATAGAGAAAAGAATGCTTAATTTTTTTATTTCCTTTTTTTATTATAAGGGCAACTATGGTAATACCCCGAGACTATTCAACGTTAATCAGGTGAGATCGCAGCAGCAGCCTACCGCGCAGCAGCAGTTGCAGCAACAACAGAGATCAATGCCTTCACCGGGGACTCCAGCGTCCGCTCGGCAGTCTCCATTTCCGGCAGAGACTTTTCCCCCTCCCACATCTCCCACAGCTAGCCAATTTCCTCCTGGTCCTAATCCTGGTGCACCAAATCCTTCTGCCCAATACCGGTTGCAAAGGACCACATCTACACCTTCAGCTACGACTCAGTTGCCAGGTAGGTTGAAATTAAAGTAGCAATTGTAATAATAATTTCATAACAATATGATTTCGTGGACATCATTATCCGTTATATATGGTGTCTATAAAATTCCCATCTTAAGATAGTGAAGTAACTCTAAAATAGTAAACTTTATTAAATAATTAATCCGTTTAGTGCCGGACGACGATATATCGTCGTTCGCAACACTTGCGAAAAGTGCCAGCGACGATATATCGTTGCGCATCCAATAGCGTCTTACTATTCGCATTGCGGGAGAACTCAAAATAAATTTATAAAACGTTATAAATGGTTTAATTTGATTGCAAGAATTTTTTTTGAATTATGTAAATATCATTTTTAGTTTGGTTTTTATGAGCTTTTTCTCAAACTTCAGTAAATTCGTCCGGTTATCTTCGCACAGGCACCCGTTTTCCGCCCGGCACTAAAAGGGTTAAGATTATGATTCAACGAGATACTCGTTAACATTTCTATATACTTTAAATGATTTTGTAGTATTTTTAAGCACATTTTAGGGATTTCACAGGTTTATAGTATCTAAATTCAACGGTTTGTATATAGTCGATAAAAGAGATATAATATGATCGCGAAATCAATAGAAATATAAAATACGTGACATTTTTCGGCTTTAATCTCTTATTAATAACACTTATTTTTATTAAAAACACTTACAAAACATAATTCCAATGTTATAAATAATTACAAAAATTCGTACATCTGAAAAATTTATGTGTAAAAAATCTTACATGTATACAAGTTTTCTAGACTTGTAATCTTTGTTGTATAGGCGTATAATTTAATGAATGTATACAAACAAATGTCCAGAAATTGCTGTCAAGCAATTAAGATTCGCAGGCTTTTATTGATATAATTTGTAAAAATAGAATACTATGTTGTTCTTATACTAGATTTATTGAAATTTTCTACACTCTTGAGCTTTTATAATCAACATTAATATATTAATTATTTTAGTAAAAGATGATAGGGTTTTATAGACGTCCTTCATTTACAAGCGACAAATTTTTTAGAAATTTGAGAATTTTATCTTTGATTACATGTACTAAGGCACTGTCCTTTTTTTCTTTGTGACTCTGTGTATGATTGTATAGTAATTCTTTCACAGTGTGGTACAAAAGAGACTCTGGTAAGTCATCGAGCACAGGAGAATACTGTTTGAAATAGCTTATGGCTATTTCATAAATATTCCAGGTAAATCGAGTATCAAAACTTATTTTTTAGTCGCAATGGAATAACAAAAATAATAAAAAGTTTTGTTATTCATCATTTAATTGCACTGTGAAAGAGTTAATACGAATTGAATGAACTATCAGGTGTTAGTGTTTTTAACGCACAAGTAGGTCAAGATACTTCTAAACTTCTGTATTTTTTATTTTATGTAAAATGATTAAGAATTTAAGGATATGATGGCCGTGCTGTCATTTCGTTCGTCATTCCGGTGCTATTCAAAAATATTCATATTGTCATATTGGTGCGGTTAATTTTGAGCGTTTCTGCAAATAAAACTATAAAACACGTACATGGAACGGAAGACGTGTGAATTTTTAAATATAAACACATTTATTTGACGTAGGTAAGTACACAATCGATTAAAATCTATATTTCTATTTTACTCGATATTGGAAAATAGTGGGAGTACTTTTTTAGATTAGAAAAACTACAGATTTTATTAGCCGTTTTTTATTTCTAGGGATTCTTTAATATTAAAATTCCTATCGGAGGTTTCTTAAAAGTAAGAAAGAAATACAGACTCGTACACGCGTATAAGAACATAATTTTCCATTAGTAAATAATTCGTAAACAAATAAATATAGTGTGATAAATTCGTATAATAAATTTTAGTGTGACATTATGTTGAATTTTGAGATTAACTTAATATTCGATTTATTTTACAAAATAAACAGAATAAAAATTTGATAATTGTTTGTAAATTATTTATTATGCCTATAATAAAAATTGTTATTATAAATAACTAATATAATACCTAACAATATTCTGTAAATGTATATCTTGAATTTAAATGAATAGAATTGTTCGTATTCTTACGATTTAAAGATTTAAAGTAATTTGAATTATTAGAGTGAGTAATTATAGGCATTTAATTAACCTTGAAATTATTTAATTTGAAATATTACCAAAATATTCATCTGTTTATCAACAATACTTGATTTGTAAAATGAATTACTATGAAACAGGATAAGTTCTGAATTAGCTGTACAAAATCTTATCATAAGCATCTCATATAAGAAGCAACTTAACAGTCAACTCTAAAACCGATATTTTCTTCACTTGTTCTCTATTGAAGCATGTATCAATGTATTTAATTAGTAAAGGCCACTTCCTCAACTGTGAATAATGTCAGAAATTATAATTTATTCCAATTGAAGTAACTGCTCAGAATCAGCAATTAGTCCATGGCTAATTATCACTTAAATATGATGTTCTTTTCAGATTTAGTTAAGTGTATGCACAATTAAATCTATTCAAGTATATAATTACAATTAACCTCTTCATATATCTTTTTCTATCGATTCATTGCCTTGTATTTTTTTTATCATTTTCAAATTTAAAAAAATGGAAGGAAATAATTCCAGAGTATCCATTTTCGTGTACTTTAAAATCATTTGTGTACTCAAAATAAATATAAAATCTCTAAAAAATTCCACATTATAACCAATACTATTTTTCTTGCTGCGAGAAGTATTAACTCTTTGAATACATAATACTTAAGAAAGAATCTTTTCACGCCGCAAAGTCGACAGAACAACACTCATTGAGTTTTTATACTAACTTTCCAAAATGTTTATGCGAACATTATTTAATTCTTATTTATAAACATTATCTGAGGGTGACATTCCGGTATTAAGTTGCTTCCTACGTTAAATGCATTATGACTTTCAATTTATGGCATATATATCAGAAATCGCGTTCTACCAGTCAAAAAAATTGGGGTAGTGGCTACAGATAGAATCCTAATTTAAAATATTTCGTTAGTAAGCAGACTTATATTATTAACCGCGACTGTACTGCTCACGAGCGCTACCGGAGCATGGAAGGGTGCCGAACTGGAAGCGTTAAATGTTTATCTAAGAAGCGAGAAACAAGAAGATAGACAAGCTTGATGTTGCAGGTGGGCTCGGTTCGCCCCGGCACTACGGCGGAGTGAGTAAGGAACAACCTCTTCTTTCACCTAGTCATCCACATTCGGGTTGCCCAGCAACACCGACTCACAATCAACACAACGTAACGAATACCCAACAACACTTCTCCAACCAACAACATTCTTCTATGATATACCACACGACCGCCAATACAATCAACACAGCAGATATGCAGAACAGTCAGTTCTGTTACGATCGGACGTCTGTTCCACTCTATTCGTCAGGGCCTGGGGACACGCAGGACGCCAGGTCTCTACCTCCCGGTAATCCTGTCAATCACCAATTGGGTGGTAAGTCATGTGACCATTTAATGTCATGTGACCATCACTTCGTCATCATTACACTCCCTGTTCCAACAACCACCCCCATGTACGACTTGTCTGATCTAAAATACCTGTTCGTTGTATCACCAGACGACGCAAAAGGCATGAGACATTTTTTGGTACATGGAAGCACCGTCATTCTATCACGAAACACCCATCGATGTGTATATCCAAACAATGTAAATACGATGATCGTCATGTTCAATGCAGCGTTCCCATACGTTCAGTGTACCTATATCATTTTCATCCTGCAAGTCTCCTACACATCTTTCGCTATGTTTGGGGAATTGGTGTGTGCTCTTAATCAGGCTCCATGAAAATATCTCACGATCGTCACTTGGATCATGTTCACTCATGGATTTCGAATTCTGTTTCCTTATCGTGTGCCACCCCCATCGTATACTTCGTTGCTCTATTTCTTCTCATCATCAAACCTTCATTACATTTCTGTTCGTTCAATTACGACGATAGAGCCGTGATGGCTATTGTTACATAATAGTGTTTATTTAACAGTTCTATATCTTTATCGATAAACACTTGTTTACATTCTGCATATTAATATGTTTTTTATTTCACGGAATGAACTTCTTAATGGTTTTGATCAGAAATATTTCAATCTACATTTTTCAGCTACATCGATTTTAAATCTTATAGATATTTTAATAGATTAGCGAGGTTAATTAAATCATATTATAATCATAATTTACCCTTGCTTTCGTCTTCCCTAACGGCCATATTCGAGTACTTAAGGAAATATCAATGGGGCTTAACATAGTAGTAGTTGTTTGTTATACGATTCTTTTATTCATACAGCCTCGAATTTGCATAGCATCTCAATCATTCTTGTTAGAATATAGATGCTTCTTAAATTATTTCCTGGTGGAAAAATATAATAAAAAGATATGATAGTGAAATATGAAAATGATAGTAAATATTTGACAAGCATTTTGAATACTGTTTTATTCATTTTTATAAAATTTTGATACTTGAACTAAAAGTACTTCTTTTTATAAAATTCAGGCTTTTCAAAAAAAATTTGAATTGTTTATTAATAATCTTTTTTGTACCGCATTATATTGTTATGGATAAATAGATAAAAGGATAGATTCATTTCTCATTAATGAGTATCTTATAAAATACTATCCATGCTAATTTGTGTAATTAATTCCTGATGTAGATGTATTTTGTTTTTTAAAAGATTTATCAAATTCGTAGTAACATGAAACTAATCGAAATATTTTTTAAAGAAAAATTTGAAAAGTTAAGAAGTAATTTTATAGTTTTCAAAATCATTTAAGTTAGTTCTAAGTTCTAGAATTTCAGTATTTTATATGAAAGGATTTAGTATAAGAATGGTAGTCAGCATTAATTTTCTGTTCCAAGTACCAATATTTCTTATGAAATCATTACCTTTATTACGTGCCTTTTAAAAAATTAAATGTTTAGTTTCAGTAGCTTAGCAGTTTCTTTACATTCTCAAAGGGCATTTTAAAATTGACCAAACATTTAAGTATCTCTTTTATGAGAAGGTTAATCTTCAGTAACTGACGGAACTGTCGATTCACATTCATATTTTCTGCACACTTGAGTAAAATTAAAGGGACGAGAAAGCACTGGTCATTAACCGTAAATTAACTCCAATAATTCCATGTTCTTCATCAATGTCCTTTCCATTTGTGAGTAACAGTTCGAGTGTTTTTAACGAGACATACACAGTGTATCGAACATCTACATTTTATAACCAGTTTTTAGAAAAAAGGGTCCTTGTGTCTCTGTCTGGGAGAAATCGATCGTATTATTATGCAATTGTAATGTAGTAGTATAACTTCATCGCCATCTACGATGTACACGTGTCCACACTAATTCCAACGATACAAATACGATATTTGAGACTGCACCCCCTTCTTTTTTTAGCGATAGAAAGATCACACTTTCCCATGGTGATTGTAGACACCGATGTACTTATGTAACAAGCATAGTAGATAAGTCACGTAGGAGAAATTATCCTTTGTACTATATTTTTGTAGGAACCTCTCCCCTGAGACTCGTATGCGTTAAGATCACCGTACTTTTTAAGGTGGATTGGAAACGGAAGTGGGCAAATTGTGTCTGAATTGCATTAAAAACTTTGTCGTGTAAATATATATGACTAAATTAATAATAACGTGTACGTAGAATTAATACTATACACATTACAATTTATTATAAATTATTATAACTGTAATACGACATTTTAATAATTTTTTTCGATATTTATATCTTCTTATTGGGGGAAAATGACATTAAATATTATTTTAGAAACTATTGAATAATTTTCAATATTTCATACACTTTTCAATTAGACGTGTACTAAAGTATTATATTTACAGTTCATGTATGTGCTGAAAAATTGTAAAATCTATAAAGACTTAAATCTTGATTGCAAAGTAAATTTAGATGACGCAGATAGTTTAGTAATGTATTAAACATTAAGTAAATCATAAGAACTTATGTTATGAGGAAGGTGCAATTATATGGAAAAAGTAGTAGTTGATTTATTTTACTTTATTTACAAGAAAATACGTTAGCAGTGCAACTGTGATTTTATTGGCAATATTAAAATTGTTGACTATTGTTTTCAAATGGTGATTCTTAAAATTATTCAGTGTTATTCTCATTCTATCTCAATTTTAAATACCATTAAGTTAATTAATATCGTTGAACTAGATCAAATATAGTGGATTTGGAAGTATTGCAAACGAAACAAAATTTTATTTCGATTACAAAGTTTGGCTTTTATAACTAAACAAATTTCATTTCTTATGTAATCGTATAGGTTCGAAGTATTTAATATTTATATTAACTTCTGCATATTCTATCCATATTGATGTAACTATAAATTTTACGTTTGTCAATGTTAATTAGAAATAGTTATTTCCTACAGTAGACGACTAATTAGACAATAATAGGAAAATTTAAGATAATACACGGAAGGAGAAACAATTGGCAAGAATTGCACGTATCAGTAATTTGCCCATTTCCGGTTCGGAACATGTACGCACCGTTTAGTGACTATCTCCGGCACTTCCGGAACACATAAATTAGCGTCACTATCACTTGCACCACATGTTAAGCCTGTGTTAAAACTAATACGTATTGTTGCCTCGATATCGTAAATTGAGTTTCTTGTATCAATGTAATTGACTATGATTTAGCAATGGCGGTACGTTTAACAGCGTGACGAAATAATTGCCTTGCACCAACGTTGTCACTTAATCGTTATAACATATCTACGTAGAATTTAAATATCCAATTATACATATATATAAATATTTTTTTTCATTCTTTACCGCCAAGAAACCTTATTCGTCGATCTATCGGTGTATAAAATATAACTGAAAGTTAAACGTAAATTAGAAACCTTTTTTTTATCTGTAAATGTCATTTATGTTTTGCCATTTAATGAAACTGTTGTTACAAATAATTGAAAATCAATTATTATATCATTATATAATCGCTTAGAAAAGTTTAAATATAATTTACATCGACACAAACGATACGTCGTAATCCCCTCATTTTTTCACATTTATTTTCATTCAATCTATGTTTAATTATGTTACGCTTGTTGGCTCACATAATTTCTTTGTGTTTTTTATGTTGTGTCTCCTCATTATTCCTAATCAACTCACTATTATTATCCATCTGTACAAACCTCTTTTTTTATGTTTGCGAGAAAATCAGACAGGGATATTTTGTGATTGGAGCATGATCGACGTAGACATTCACTTGTATTTGGTAGACGCATTGAATTTTTACAATATGGTTTACAAACATTATAGTAAAAGTATTTTTTTTCGTATAACGGTTAATATTAAACGAAAATTTGAAACTTTGATAAACAAGCGTTTATACAGTTGTTACAGTTGAGATGTTGGCTGTGTATTTTTGAAAAAAAGAGACTGATATACAAATCG